AAGCATGCAGTAACTGTGAGTCTGTTATGCATGTTAATGGAAAGGTTATGATTCTAGATATGCTTATTGGTGGTTGAGCTATGGCTTATTTACTGAGTATGATAGTCTACTAATTCCCGCGGAGTTCCTGGCCAACGCGCTGTGTGCTAAGTCAGGGAGCATGAGTACTCCTGACCGTTGGTATATGAGATAAACAGGCCGCCAGAGCAATTAGTAGACGGACCGTATTTGACCGAGAGCGAGTCTTACATACGAGTCCGAAAATTCTAGATAAGCATATCGAGAGAGAGTCAGTAACCTAGCTGGAGGTAGCTGAGATACCTCATTAACGAACAGATGACCCTAGTAAGAGAACTAGGAGTCAATGATGAATAAAACCTAAAAACACCTGGAAAGATTAGTTATGAACTCTTGAGTGATAAGCTAGTTACTTACTGAGTAATCTAATTACTCATCAAAATTATTATAACTTTTCTTTCCAGATTTAGATGATGCAGGCCAACCGAGGACGAGACCAGCGGACTGAAGACTACTGGGAATCCATGTCTGTGTCTGTTTTGTATAATTATGTTTTCGCTGTCGAGAATTTACTTCGGTTGTTTTAAGTTTAAATAGCACCGGTTTTAAACGTTTTACTGGATGTTTTTTTTAAACATTTTGAAATTATGGTTGGGCGTTAGAGTATGTTGTCGTTGATGATGGTAACCCCTGTTAATCGCGTTGACGATGAGCGGGCGTTACAAATAATTAGCTAAATTATGTCAAAAATACTCTTTAAAATATTTTAATAATACTTTTAAAATTTTAAAAATATTAAAATAATATTATTTTTACTGTTATTTTAGTATGCAAATAATTGATTGTTTAATCTATAAGAGATGCCCTTAAATTTTAAAAAATTTCAATAATATTCTTCCGCTTGTTAAAAAAATTATGAAAAATGCCCTTAAAATTTAAAAACTATCATTAATATTCTTCTGTTAAGAAAGTTAAGAAATAATTTTACACCACGTTTAAAAAATGCTTATGAACTTTTAAAACTAGCTTTAACATTCTTAACGTTTATAAAAAATAAAAAAAAAATTATAAAATTATTATCGCCCATATACAGATGAAAACAGTCTATTTAAGCTTCATTGATCATCTATCTCTCAAATTTTAACTAACTATATGACCTTTTCAAATTTTTTTCTAACCATTTAAAAATATTAATGTTATTTTTGTAAAGTTTATCGGTATTTTTTAAACATGTTACTAATAGTTTCATTTATATATGACGTTAAGGATATATATATATATATTTATATATATATATATATATATATTAATTTTAGGTATTTTTTAATTTCTTAAAAAATGCTTAAAGATATTTATAAAACTTTTGAAAGTAGATTTACACGCCACTTAAAGTTTAATAATATTTTTAAAACACTCTTCAAAGTTAAATAATATTTTTACTAACCGTAAATATATATTTAAATATTTTTTAATTTTTTAAGTTTAAAGGTATTATCGAAGGTTGAAAAGTTGAACTATAAAATTAATTAATTTTAAAATGATTAAAGTTACTAGGTCGGTTTAAATCACTGTAAATGTGTTTTTAATAACATGAAAATCACATTTAAAAGGTAAAATCAGATATTAATTTGATTTTGAATAATTAAAAATATTAGAGAATCATTTAAAAAAAAAAAAACGTGCAAAGTCTTCCACTTTTAATTATTAATAATATACATAGTGGAGCAAGTATTTTGCCGGGTCGGATCCAACATTCTAGAAGGGTTAAAAATGGAACTCTCCTTTACTAGACATAAAAAAGAATGGAAGTGGGTTTGGACTTTGGAGAAAAACCTAAACACCACGTGGGCCAGACATAACATATTGGGCCTACAATTATTTCTTTTTCCGATTTATTTTCTTGACATCACCCATTTTTTAAAAAATGACTTTAAGATCCTTACATAATGGAAATAGATTTTTTCCACTTAAAAAAAATGTGTTTTGTCACAATTAAACTTCAATAAAATAACATTAAAAATAATCGTCATTAAAAATGTCTTGTTTTTTAAGCCTTTAACAATCAATTTTTCTAAAAAAAAAAAAGAATAATTTAATAAATCTCTATTATCTTTTAAATTTATTTATTTATTACATATAATTTGAATAGTTTAATGTTTATCTATTTATTGTTTGTTCTTATCTTCATCTTCTACTTGGAGGTTTTGATTAACGTGACGCATAAACCAATAAGCCCAATTATTACTGGGGTTTAGCATAAACCAAACCTTTTGTTTTTAACGAATAAGCTTGTTTATTACAAATTATTTTATTTATTTTTACATTTCTACTTACTAATATTTTATTTATTAATGAAATAAAGGCAGCTGCTTTTCTTCATCTCACTCTATTTCTTACTAGGAACGGGTTCTATCACAACAATATTGTTTTAGTGGGACGATAGCTCTAAAAAGATAAATTACCCTTCTTTTCTTTAATCTCGGGAGAAATAAAATAAGAACAGCCCCACATTCAAACCGTCACTTCTTCCGATAGCAAAAACTTGTTTCACTTGCATATCATAATAAATTTGAATAACTGCATCAAATATAGTACTTTGGTTATTCTATAAACATTTTTCAATCCATAAATTACAAAATATATATGTATATATATATATATAATATACATCGAGTAGCTTCAAAAGCATAAGTTTCTTAAATTAAAGTAAAAAATAATTATTACAAAAGCTTCCTCACTTTAATATTATAAATAAATTGAAATTTAGCAAGTTTTTAACGATTTTTGTAATGGAAACAAGGTGGGTCCCAATATTATTTTAATACAAAAAACTAAGAACGTTAAAATGCACTGACGAGGTGATTTGGCACCCAATCCAATCAGTATATGAATCAGTCCAAGAAATTAGGGTTTTGTTATGTCAACTAACCTTTTCCCCTTTAACTTTAAGTTCTAATTAATAATTAATTAATTAAAGCAACTTATTATCATTATTCTTTTAATGCTAGTATGTAGATGCTAACTCATAACGATAGCGATACTTATAAAAAAAAAAACAATTCTTTATAGAAAAATTATAATAAAAAATATTTAGGTGAACACATAGCCCGACGTTTAACTCTGATATCATTTGTAATAGTCTAAGACTACTGTTAGTAGATATTAAAAAATGATTGAACTGTCTATTTTTATTAACATTAAATAGCAACTCTTTTATTATTATAAAAAAAACTTATTATAATCATAATTCTTTTAAAATTATTTTAAGTTGACCAAACCCATTAAAATATGTAACTAAATTTGTTTATTGCTAATTTATTTTAATTTTCCATCTATTTTGATTTTTTTTTTCGCTATAAATTTTCACCAAACTTATAATATTTAGAAGTATAAATAATGAGTTATTTATTTGATTATAATAAAAAATATATTGTTTTTCTTCTTAAAATGAATAAAAAATTTAAAAAGGAAAAAAAAAAGATGGAGGATATGGGACGGAACAGAGTGCCGTGAGTTGACAGCTTGACACCCACTTTTATTATCCTCCGGAAATTGGAAATAAAAATCCAAAATTTCTTTTTTCTTTTTTTAGTACCATTGAAGATTTGAATGTAGCTAACAATTTTACAAAAATATAAAATTATATTAAATATATACTGAATATTTATTAGATATACATTGAATTTTGATAAAAACATCATCGTTGATTGATCGTATCAAGACCTAACTTCGCTTTAATACAATTCGAATAAATATAAAAAATAAATTAATTCAATTCACTAACCTAACAAATTTTGATGGAAAACAAAAATAATTAAATCAAACCTACTCGCTCTTATGGATTGGTTTGAGTTGAATTTATATGTTTAGTAGAGTTCAAACCAATCCATGACAACTCATACTAATAATTGTCGAATAATACTCAAAATTATTCTGGTTCTAAAAATTATAAAATAATTTATATTTATTATTATAGATAAGATTTGGTTTTCATAAAAATAATTAAGGAAAGAACAAAATTTTCAAACTAATAAGATCTGATTTGAATTAATACACCACATGGAAGATTAAATAGGCGTTGAAATTGCTTCACTATACATTAAAAATGAGCTAAAGTTAAGATTGCATATTAGGTTACATTTTCATAAAAGATCCGAACATGTTTGGATCATTTTCTTTTCAAATCAACGACATTTTCAAATTATTTAATGTTAATTATCTAAACTGCACTTTAGAGAAAGATAACGATCATTACTAAAGTTTTGAAATTTTACTTTAATTCGTTCTGATTATTTTTTTTTTTAAGATACTCGATGCCCGTTCCAGAAGTGAAGGCCAACTGGAAAGCAAATGCTCTAAAGAAAGCCATTGCATTTAGACATCCCCAAGAAATAAACTACACTTCAATTGCTTTATTATAAAATATAATTTTAAATATTTAAAAATACCAATACTTAGAAAAGTAAGGAAATAAATAAGAACAAGAAAACCTAATTAAAAAGAAAAATGAGAAAAGAAAAAATAATTTATATCAATGATAATCACGATTTATTTATTTGATTACAACGTTAATATCAACTTAATCCTGACATTAGAAATCTTAATTGTTGATGCGTTGGACTTCTGATATTCGACACATCATCGTTCATATCCACTCCTTTAGAACCTTCTATTTTATTTTAATTTTTAATTTTTAATTTTTTTCCCTTTTAACAGGCTGCAGCTGCAGGAACAGGAAAGCAATAAAATTGGATAAATTGCTGAGTCACTATCCGGCAGCCTGGGCCCACTCTCAAACGCCAAATGGTTTTCATTTAACCTAGGAAATGACAAATTTAACCATGGTTAAATTTCTGACCCAACCTTGGTCCCACTCGTTCCTCCACCCATTTTTTATATAATGCGTAATGCCCATTCTTTCACTCATTCTTCCCCCATCCAATTTCACCCCCAAATTGAAAATGCTCTCCGCTGCTTCTCCTCTTACTCTTCCGCCTCTACCGGCCAGATCCTCTCCCCGGGAGTTTACACGTGTCAGATTCCGACCACCGCAGGCTTTCTCCTCCACTGCCACCGCCTCTTCCACTGCCTACGCCTCCAGAGAGGACACCGCCTCGCCGTATCTCAACCTTCAAAGAATGGCGTCCTGTACATCTCTCTACGAGGTCCTTGGGATCCCTACTGGAGCTTCTTTTCAGGAGATCAAATCGGCATACCGACGTCTTGCCAGAGTTTGCCATCCGGATGTAGTGGCCGTCGACCGGAAAGACTCATCGGCCACCGATTTCATGAAGATCCATGCCGCTTATTCCACTCTGTCTGATCCTGAGAAACGCGCCGATTACGATCGGAAGCATCTCCGCCGTTATCGTCCTGTGGCTTCGGTGCGGATGGCTTCCGGTTTCACTGGCTACACTCGTAATTGGGAGACGGATCAGTGCTGGTAACGAGTTGATTCACCGAGTGATTGAAGTCGAAACTAAAACGATCGGAGTTTGTGAACTATATGATGATTGATAGTTAGGGCTAAATCGGAATCAGAGAGCGCCTAAATCGGAATCAGAATCGGAATCTCTGCTGTGATTCGTACATATAACGAAATAATCCAAACGGCGCGAATGATTCGAGAGATGGACTATGATGATCCGTGGAGGGATCGAAGCTTTTCTGCAACTCACCAGCGCTTGACAACGAGTGAGATTTGCTTCAGATCTTTAGGAAAAATCACGAGGAAGAAATTTCTAGTTCTCGAAAATCAAATCACCAAGTAAACAACAAACAGAGGAAAATGCATATATCTTTTCCTAGTTTTCCTTTGGTTATCTGTATAATTCTTGGGTTTGTCCAGTTTGGATTTCAATGAAATAGAAGTAACGAAAATCTAAAACTCAAAACACTGATCTGTTCTGCTTTTCTCTCTGGTTTGCTCATCTGATTAGACTGATAAACGCATACTAATCATGATTTTGATTCGATTATTCAAATTCTGGCGCGATTGATCCACTGTTGTTTCTTTTCATCTCCATCTTTCACTGATAAAAATTCTTAACCATATGGATTTGGAATAGGAATCTTCCATTTTGGAAGACAACTTAGAAAAGCAAACTGATTAGCAGACAGCAGATTGTAGGTTCGTCGTCTTCCATTATTTTTTTAATTTGCTTTGTGTGAGTTTTTCATTTTCAATTGAAACCGAGTGGAATCGACAGCTGGGGACAAAAATAAACAAACTCGTGTTCATACTTCAGCACAAACCTTTCTCCTTCACCGACCTTCAATGCTTCTCTTTCTTCACTTTTTTGGCCTACTTCCCCCAACCATCATAGCCTGAATCATGTATGCATACATGGCCATGGATATGATGAGTATGATGTCGATGTCGAATTTTGAAAATATATAATATAAAGATAAAAACAAACTCTGCCTCTGTGCAAGAAAACAGCTCCCATTAGTACGGAGGAGCTTGCGGTGGGGCCGCCGCCTCCGCCTACAGATTTCACGGAAAGATTGGGGCACAGGATTCTCATTTTGGATTCTTCTCAATGGGAATCCATTATTCACCATTAGTCCTTGAACGAGTCACCGACACCAGCACGAGAGGTCTTATCTTCTTATCTTTCTTCTAGAACCACACCCCGTCCGCGTCGCGTCGGCCGTCTACGTCCCTATCTTCCATCAATTCACACCCTTCTTTGCTACGTATCTTGTTCATCCGTCCGATTATTTCTAGAAACTAACTTACTGATTGTACTTACTGAAATTTGATTTTAAAAACAAAAGGAAGATGGGAATGTATGGACGGTTAGGAATCACTACTCCCCACGTTTGGGTGATATTATCCATTTTGATTCGGGCTTCCCAAAACACCTCGTACCAATGAAGATAATATTCCTCACTTATAAACTCATGATCTTCCACTAAATTAACCAATGTGGGACTCGCTCCTAATTATCTCCAACATGGACCGGTCCTTACAAATTTTTTCGAACTCGTACGAAGATAAAAAATTGGGGATGAAAATTGAAATAGGAGGTGGGGACTAAGATGAGGAAGGCTTCCCATCTCTACATCTTACACATTTCTAACTTTTATTCAAACTAAAAAAAATTATAAATTTAAAATTCATCTCAACCACTTAACTTTTAAGAAGGTTCTATAGAAAATTTTCATTAAAGACGTAGAAAATTCAAAACAGCTGCAAAATATTTAGTTCAACAAATACAATAGTGAAAGATTAGAGTGAAACAAAGTCTAGAAGAACGATTGAAACCTACAATAAAGAGGGTATCATTTTGGAAATGGTGTTGTGAACGTTAATTTTAGAGGGTCCACAAGCGTTGTATAGCCGTATGGGCAACCTCATTTAGCCACACATGTGGCGATTTTATGTGGACATTTTTGCCAAAACGTATCAACAAAACTCCTCTCATTGGACGCCTTATTCCAATTTGGGTCCACAATTGAAACTCGTGACACAATTTTCTACAAATATATTTTTTATTTTTTGAAAATTCATAATATAATCTTCTAGTCGGTTCCCATTTTAAAAGTTTATGAATTAAATTTAAATAAATAAATAAAATGTACTAGGTCCACAAATGAAATGCGGTTCACGGAAATGGGCCGTGGAAAATTAGAACAGGCCCAATAAACAATGGAATGAAATAAATGGGCTTAGGCCCAAATCGGAAAATCCAACCATTTCAACAAGTACAGCGGTGATAGGAATCCGACCCGACACCGCCTCCTTCTTGCCCCCATGTCGTTATTAATATATAATATTATGAGTGACACAAATAAATCGATTAATTTTTAATGTTTCTAACAATTTAATTGTTATTAAATAAAAAGAACATCGAAAATGAATGAAGTGTTCGTGGGGGAGCACCAAGCAATAATGAAAATGCCAGGTTGTCCCTCTTTTTGCTATCTTGCACTACTACCAAACACTCCCTTTGCGCGTGGCCGTTGGGAATTTAAATAATTTAGATTTTATTGGATTTTTGGGCTGGACTTTTGATATGGGCCTTAATAGAGATGGACTGGGGAATTTGGGCCCAATAACAAAGACCGGACTTGGCATGATTATTGTGGCCCATCATGAGTTCCCAAATTTCCAAATATGTGCACGTGCGCTCGTGGAGGCTCTCACCAAATGAATTAAAAGCAAAGCAGCGTGGGCCCCAGGGTTTGTTAGGTAGGCGAGAATGGTTCTTATGTGCAGGTTGCTGACGTCATTAATAAAAATTGGAAAATTTGTAATTACCAATGCGGAAAAGTAATGACTTTTTTTATTTATTGATGCCTTGATTCCTTCCTATCCCTCTAATTTTCTTTCCCATTAACAGGCTGAATAATAAAATTAGAAAAAAAAAGCAAATTTAACTTTCACTAGTTTCCCCTTTCAATAATAGGGCTTAAATGGGGTAAGTGTCTTTGCTCATACTCATTCCTTCCATCTCACAATCTACCCCGTTTAGGGCTTAAATGGGCTCACTGTCTTTGCTCAAACTCATTCCTTCAATCTCACAATCCACTGACTTCGAGGTTCAGTATTGCACTTATGTTTCCTCTCCCATCAAGTGGGGTCTCATAATTCACCCCATTTGGAACCAATGTCTTCACGAGCATTGGTTTAACCTTCCATCGATGTGAAATCAAGCCCCCGAGTGGAAGTGGCTAATAAAGGAAGGTGACTAATAGAAGATGACACCAATTATTTTGTCCTTTTGCTTTTATCTTTGTTGTCTTTGTAGCTAAAGTTTTAAAGCCACAAACAAAAGCCATCGCCTTTGGTTAAAGCCACTCCACCAGTGTGTGTACTGTAAAGGCGAAGACCGAATATAAATGTACAATATGGGTTGGAATTTAGAGCCAACCGTGTTTGACCCTTCTCCAATTCTTCACCCACGATGAGTCGATGCAGCCCTCCCCTGTTTTCTTCACTTCTCCCACCCATTCTCAGCTTCTGAACCACCCATTTTACCCTCTTTTCTTCTTCCATTTCGGATTTTCGATTTCACGTTCCTTCGTCTCTGTTTTCCATGGCGGACATAAAGTTAATCTTGGCTCGCCCTATTCAATTGGCGGACCAAGTCACCAAGGCTGCGGACCAGGCTACCAGCTGCAAGCATGAGTGCGCTGACCTCAAAGCCAAGACCGAGAAGCTTGCTACTCTTCTTCGTCAGGCGGCTCGAGCGAGTTCCGATCTCTATGAGCGACCGGCCACTCGGATCATCAACGAAACTGCACAGGCCTTAGATAAAGCTCTTTCTCTTGTGCTCAAATGTACTGGAAATGGCCTTATGAAGCGCCTTTTCACAATTATCCCTGCTGCCGCCTTCCGAAAATCCTGCTCCCAGCTCGATAATTCCATCGGCGATGTCTCGTGGTTGCTCCGAGTTTCCGCCTCCGCCGAGGATCGTGGCGACGAGCATTTGGGTCTTCCCCCAATTGCTGCTAACGAACCCATTCTAGGTTACATCTGGGAACAGATTGCTATTCTCTCAACCGGTTTGCCGGAAGATCGAGCGGACGCGGCAGCGTCGCTGGTTTCTTTGGCGAAAGATAGCGAGAGATATGGGAAACGGATAATTGAAGAAGGCGGCGTTGGGGCGTTGCTGAAATTGCTGAAAGAAGGTAAGGTTGAAGGTCAAGAAAACGCTGCAAATGCGCTAGGGCATTTAGGGCGTGACCCTGAGAATGTTGAGGCCATGATTCAGGCTGGTGTCTGTCAGGTGTTTGCGAAAATTCTCAAAGAAGGTCCGATGAAAGTTCAGGCTGTGGTTGCTTGGGCTGTATCGGAACTCGTTTCTAGTTACCCAAAATGCCAAGATCTCTTTGAACAACACTATATTATCCGCTCGCTTGTTACCCATCTTGCGTTTGAAACAGTTCAAGAACATAGCAAGTACAATATCACTGTCAATAAAGCCACCTCGATTCATGATCTGGTAATGGCTAGCAACCCCAAAACAAACAATATGTATAAAGCTGTAGATGATGATGATCGACAGCTCCATAGTCGGATTCTTCATCCAATGGGAAATCGAACCCCTAACCAGATGCACGCCGTGGTTACCAACACTATGAATATGCTCGCTGGTGGGTCGGTAGCGGCTGCCACTGCAACTCCCCTGGCAAACCATGGCGAAGGTCACAGCCTTAGCAGCAATGGAAAGCATATTCTTCCACATCATGCCCCTTACCTTCATCATGCTCCTTTCGGCCCCAGCGCGAAAGGTAGGGAGACTGAGGACCCGGCAACGAAAACCCAGATGAAAGCCATGGCAGCTAGAGCCCTTTGGCAGCTTGCCAAAGGGAACTTGACAATCTGCCGTAGTATCACAGAATCAAGAGCTCTGCTGTGTTTTGCTGTCCTACTTGAAAAGGGGGAACAGAATGTGCGGCATAACTCAGCAATGGCATTGATGGAGATCACTGCCATGGCTGAGGACGATCCTGAGCTGAGAAGGTCCGCCTTCAAGCCGACTTCACCCGCCTGCAGAGCCGTTGTGGAGCAGTTGCTGAAGATCATTGAGAAAGAAGATGCAGATCTCCTCATCCCATGTATCAAATCCATTGGAAATTTGGCCAGGACGTTCCGGGCCACTGAGAAAAGAATGATCACCCCATTGGTGCGGCTTCTGGATGATCGAGACACCGAGGTCTCGAAGGAGGCCTGCATTGCTCTCACCAAATTTGCCTGCACAGACAACTTCCTCCACGTCTACCACTGCGAGGAAATCATAGCTGCAGGTGGGGCAAAGGACTTAGTCCAGCTAGTGTACTTTGGGGAACAAAGTGTTAAAATTGCGGCAGTAACTCTGTTGTGCTACATTGCCCTGCACTTGCCTGATAGAGAGGAGCTTGCACGGGCCGAGACGCTTCCCGTGATCGAATGGGCGTCGAAACAATCTCATTTGACGCAGGACGAAACAAATGAAAGACTCTTACATGAGGCTGGAAGTAAGCTAGAGCTGTTTCAATCTAGAGGTCCAAGAGGATACCATTGATTTCAACTCGATCATTACAGGCAAAAGCTTCTGATCTCTTCCATAAGTTGAAATTTTTTCCATTTGAACCCATTATTTTCGTTCGAGTGTACGTATTAGATTCATTTTTCATCCACAATTGTTTAGAAAGTAACGTAATAATTTAGTGAAATTTGGTTGGTTGCTTCATCTGCCTGTCATGGAGACAAAGTTTACAAATTCCTCCATGTTTGATTTCAAACGACCGGAGCATCCTATGGAGTTGTTAATCCCTGTCATTCATCTGCCTGTAATTCAATTTATATGTTTTTGATGATCTTAGATGTGTCTATCCAAACATAACTAAGTGAATAACATTGTACTGCACATGGGTAGCCCTATATCGCCCGTCAGCCCAAGCACAATGCACCATGCACCACACATAAGGATATGCTTGAGCGTGGGCGTGGGCGTGGGCATGGGCATGGAGGTTGGAGCCTAAGGGTGATTGACGGCGGTGCGGTGGCCGAACATGCATGGTGGGATGGAGTCAGGTGCCTTTAGGCGTGTGATATGAGCCTTGTTGAGCACGGAATGTTGCGATGTTGCCTCCTAATTAGGGCGGGCGGGCTTGAGGATGATCGAGTAATATACTTGTTTATACTAATATATTTGATTTCTTATTCCATTTTATAATATAGTAATGGAGTGAAATTTCCGAAATATTTATTTATTTATTTATTTTTAAATAGAAGATATCGGAATAAAGGCCGTCCACAACCCACAATGTTAATGGGCCCAAAGGATCAAACAAACGCACAGGCCCATAAAACGGGCTATAAAGTGGCCCATTTTAAGCCTGACGATTGGGCTTCATTTTAGGCCCAATTCGATTAGTCAAATCAAAAGCTATAAATATTCGAAATTATGAATGATCGATAGAGTAGCAAATTCAAATTTACGTCGAAGCTCTTACGTTTTGAAAAGGGGAGGAAATGTCAGCCAGAAAAAGAGACGCCATCAGCAAGAGCTCTCTCTGTAATAGCAACTAGCTCTGCCTTTTGCGTCGCCACGACACTGACATACCACACCAACATGGCGCTAAAACGCCTTTAACGCACGTGGCCGCCATGTGGAATGGCGCAGCCAGTTGAGGTTTCTTTGCGGCATTTTGTCGAACACCTACTGGACGCTTTTGGCTGGTGTCCCATTTTAAGGAAATTTGCGTGAATTAAACGGATAAGGTATGGATTGTATTGTGATTATTGTAGTGTAGGCGTTTTGATCCCCCATTCTTTCTCATCTTGGATTTGAGTTGATATCACTGAAACTCACTTTTGGTAACGTGAAGTTGGATTATTGCTGTAAATTGCAAGCAGCAGCGGTAGAGAAGAAGCCAAGTATGAATGCCCCAAAAGCATAGCCCTCTTTTTTCGTTTCTGATTGTAAAAAATCTTATTCTAATTCGACTTTGGAAGAAAGTGAGGACAAAAGTGAAGAGCAATATAGGTGTCTGAATAAAGCGCCACCGCCGTACGTTGAATTGACCACAACGTTTCATGTTCCTTCCCCTTTCGCAAACCCCACCTTTCTCCGCCAGTGTTGTGGAAACTTTACACGCCAACGCCATGGATTTAGATAGAATAATGTTTAAGGAAGATTAAGAGACCAAGTGGGGAGCCCCGGCCCCTACCCTACCTTCCACACACGTTTTCACCTAGTGGGGTACTGTCGGCAATGCCCATCACAACCAAATTTGTTTTATACCAAATCATAACTAATTCCTCATAGATAACTAATAACACTTTAAGATTAATCGTGTCAAGCTTAAATGATTTTGAACATACTTGACATTGTTAGATGTACACGACTTTCCACAATTGTATTATATTGTCAACTTTGAGTATAAGCTCTTATGGATTTGTTTTGAGCTTCCCAAAAAGGCCTTATCTAGTAGAGAGAGTATTATTTGATTATAAATACATGATAATTTCCTAAATTAGTGGATATGAGACTTTTATCCAACACCTCCCCCTCGAACAAAATACGCCTCCCCTTAATTGAGGCTTGACTCCTTTTCCTTTTGGAGTCATTTATTCGACATTTGAGAATTCTATTAACATGGCTAAGTTTAGGGCATGACTCTGATACCATGTTAGATGAACACGACTCTCTACAATGGTATAATATTGTCCACTTTTGAGTATAAGCTCTCATGGCTTTGCTTTGAGCTTCCCAAAAGACTTCACCGAGAAAGTATTCTTTGATTATAATAAATCCATGATCATCCTTTAAATTAGTTGATGTGGGACTTTCATCCATCCGGACATAACATCAGATCGGTGTGAGTAAATTAAAATGAATGTAAATATTGGGAGATTTTTAAGTGTCGAAATTTATATTATTAAAATTTTTAAAGTTTATATTAACACCATCCAAAATTATTAATTTTTTTAAGAAATAAATTAGTCATTTAAAAACAAAATTAAATTTGAGAGTACTAGAAATTTTGTTGAAAGGGACGAATGGGTGAATCGAAGGCTTTAAAGGCCATTTAAAGAAAAATGATGGCATTGACGGCGGAGGCGGCGGTGATTAAAAACGCCGGCCGGCTAATAATCCAGATGTCAGGTGGACACGTGGCACATTTCCCTAAGTCTCCGGAGAAAATCTGTAGGCCCCACACAAATATTATTTATTTATTTATTTCACATTCTATTAATTCAAATTTTGCTAATTTACCGATTAATTATGATAAAAGAATTCTAATTTTTTTTTTAATTGACTAGTTTTAATGATAATAATTTAAAATAAAGTTTGATTAAATTATACTAATATGTCTCTAATTGTGTATAATTAAATTTAAGGTTTTGTTTAATAAAATAAAAAGAAAATTGATAAAATTGACAGCTGGCAGTACAGGAATAAAATCTGGATTTTGCTGTAAATTACCGAGGGAGTGCAAATTGGACCTCCCCGTAACTTTTCACTCTAAATTTAGAGTCGTTCTTTTTTTTTTTATTTTTTTTTTTAAAGTGAAAATGATTGGTCGGTGAGTGAGAGTGATGTCTGTGATGGGGAGATTGCTTTCCCCTTTAATCGATCACGTTTACAAGTATAAATAACGAGCATCTCCATGTCCAAGGTTCTCTCACCGCACTCTCTCTCTCTCTCACTTCTTCCCCTTCTTTTCCAACTTATTCCCTCTTTCACTCTCAATTTCTTAAAATCTTTTAAAAATTATAATTAATGTTTTATTTGCAGTAATCTCCATTGTCTTCTCCGATATTCTTCCTCTCTCTCATCCCCGTTTCTCGCTCTAAAAGTTACTCTGTTTCCGCCATTGCTCTCTTTAACCTTTCTTCTTCCATCTCATAACTTCAATTCGCTTAGACCAGGAAATTTCAGTCAGTCAATGGGGCTGTTCAGCTCTTTCCACCGTTCTTCTCCCTTCTTCTCCACCTTGATTGTGCTTCTTCTTGTCAAAGGTTTCAAAGGTAAATTCATTTTTCTAGTTTCTTTTGTTGGTTTGAATTCTGGGTAATCGTTTGTTTTTCTTAATTTTAACGAATTTTGTTGAAATCTGTGGTAGGATTTGTTCAATCTGGTTGCTCTGTTTTTCTTCCCCTGTTTTTGATCTTCTTTCCTTGTTTTACAGAGGTCTCCGGCGCTACATTCACGTTCGTTAACAAGTGTGAATTCACTGTCTGGCCGGGAATTCTCGCCAGTGCTGGCAGCCCCAAACTGGAATCCACCGGTTTCGAGCTCGTACAGGGTAGTTCTCGCTCTTTCCAAGCTCCGACCGCCTGGTCCGGTCGGTTCTGGGGCCGAACTAATTGCAATCTCAACGGCTCCGGCCGTATCATCTGCAACACTGGCGACTGTGGCTCCGGTGAGATTGAGTGTAATGGAGCTGGCGCCACCCCACCGGCCACGTTAGCCGAATTCACACTCGGTTCCGGGTCGCAGGATTTCTACGACGTCAGTCTCGTCGACGGCTATAATTTGCCGATGATAATTGAGGGAACTGGTGGGTCAGGCACGTGCTCGTCGACCGGCTGCATTACGGACCTGAATCAGCTCTGCCCGGCAGAGCTGAAGGCAGAGGGTGGCGGCGCGTGTAAAAGCGCCTGTGAGGCATTTGCCTCGCCGGAATACTGCTGCAGCGGAACGTATAACTCGCCGGCGACTTGCCAGCCGTCAGTATACTCAGAAATGTTCAAATCGGCGTGTCCCAGATCGTATAGCTACGCTTATGATGACGCCACAAGCACATTCACCTGTAATGGGGCTGATTACACCATCACATTTTGCCCTTCTCCTCCGAGGTACCCAACACATAATAAATAATAATAACACCTTAATTTCAGTTAAATTATAAATTTATTTTCAAAATTCATATGATATTGATGTTTTATTTGAAAATGACAGTCAGAAATCTTCGAGGGATTCGTCGCCAGTGATACCAGAGCCAACAACAGAGCAGTCGGGATCAGAGCCCGAGACCAAGCCAGGATCAGAATCGGGATTAGGTTCACTACAAGGAGCAACATTAAGTAATTCTTGGCTTGCAGATATGGCCATAGGAGGCTCTTCCATTGCCGGAAAACCAAACATAGCATTTCAATTTGGGTCAAGTATTATATTCTTGGTCGTTCTATCTCTAGGTCTTCTTTTAGAATAAAATATAAAATGAAGACCAAATTCATCGATCAAATCCCGAAGTATTGATGTATGTACAGAATTTAAGGCCAAAAGAAGTTGCTTTTTTTTTCTTTTTTTTCATTTAGAGATGGGTAGAAAATTAAAATATAAAAAAAAGGCACTTTATTTGGCTTTAGTATTTGTTGAATTTGGATGATTCCCAAGCTTGAAAGGTTAATATTAAGTGGGAATTTGGAATATGGGAGCCTTAAAGTTCACACCTTTATGACAACACCATAATGGGTGATTTATGGGAAAGTTGGCCCACACAAAAATGGCCATAACTATATTTTACATAGATAATTACACATCAAAAATAGGTAAAAATATCTTTTTCGTAATTTATAATGAATTTTTAACATGTCGAAGTTGCAACGCAACAAAACTCGTTGCAACTTGCAACACAAAAAAGAAGTCATCACAGTACTGTTGTAACGTAACAAAGAATCGTCCCAAGTTGCAACCAAAATAAAGAATTATAAAAGATGTTTTCGTTGCAATGGTACGAACAAGAAAAGATTAGTTTTGTGTATGGGTGATGAATTGAAAAGAACGTAGAAAAATGGGAGGGGGGAAGCACATGGTGAGCAAGTTAGGGTGGGAAAGGCCAAATGGTGTTTGGTTGATAGGACGGCTGAATGAAAGATTCTTTTCGTCACTTTGGTATCTCTACTTTATACCTCAAATCCCACGCTGGATGCCCCAATACTTCTTGTTTTTGCTTTTCTCTTTCAAATGCATTAATTAATTTGATACATTGTTCAACAAAAACAAATCTATTTTTCTTTTTTATTATCACTGACGCTCAATTTCACTATTTTGTTAAGGTAAATTTAGGTTCGAGTGAAAATAGGCAGAGTTCAAGTTCACTAAGGGGAACACGGTCCTCGTTGGGTTGAGAGATTTTTTTTACCCAACCCAAAAATGCTAATCCTACCGAACTCAACCCAACCCAATCCTTATAGTTCGGGTTGGGTTGGTCTAGGTTTAGGGTTGAATGTACACCCCTAGAGTTCCCTGACTATTTGGACAATAACAAAAGCCACTAAACCAAGAGTAAGATGAGTCATAAGCCAAAATGCTCGTAGGCCCACCTCGATTGTGGCCGAGGTGAGCTTCTCACACCCATAGCTCGATACTAAGTTAGAAGAAAATAGGTAAATTCTCGAGATTCTAATTCAAAGAAGAAAAGGAACATTATACAAGTGTAGAAGAGGCGAGTCAAACTCTAATTCTCTGTGACTCTTGCTACATCTCAAACCTCTCAACTAATTTAGGCACCAAAACACCGCTCAAATTAATCAGTTTGGTAGGTTGCATCTTCCATGGTTCATTAAATTTACTGTTGATGCACATATGCAGATTAAGTGAGTCTTCTTTCTCAAGATCGTACATCAACAAAACTAAAAGACAAATAGTTATCAAACGAAACCTTAATCATTTCCAACACAATATTCATCACAAATTGATACGATTGGAGGGTTAAAAGGGAGTAAAAAGAAGGAAGGATTCCTGAACAAGTTGTTGTGAGGAAGAAGCTGCAGAGGAAAAAAATAAAGAGCATAAAAACTAAAGCAAAGATGGAAAGGAACCTTTCTTTCTTTTCCTTTTTGAATGAAGATAAGAGATCAGGAGGAGAATTGGAGAGGCCGTCCCGTCCTTCCAGTGGGAACTCCAGCTTTTTGCTTTGCCTCTTAGTCTGTTTTTACTGCCAAACTCCAAGACCAATCCAACATGTTCTTCCTTTTTCCCACTCATACAATCATAAATACAATGATAAAAGGAAAATACCAACATTGGACGTACCTACATACTCCATTCAAACTCACTGTATAATAGCGATAGCGCAGCAACTAATGGACAGGACAACCTTTGACGACAACCCCTGGGGCAGTAGGACAAGAAGCCAAAGGACACGCATCTGAATCCCCACCCCACCACCGAAGAGATACATGTTGCATTCCTAAACATATATACAGAAACACACCCATGAACGCCAATCCAGCATCCAAAGCTCCGGATAGCAAATAGTTATGGCGGCTCCACCACCCACGGTAATGCCTGTAAGCAACAAACCCAGAAGCAAATCCTATTGCAATCCAGCTTGTGTAGTTAACTGCGGTGGCTGGAGGCATATTCACCACCGCGCCGAGGAGTACCGGCATGGTGATCAGCCTGATCCAATACTTGTCTGGGAAGGCCTTGTGTGCCAGCCAAACCAAGAATGGAGACACCGCTCCGGCTAAGAAAAACCAGTTTAGTGATCCATATTTGCCTTGATCCCCAAAGATCCTCCGAGGTCCAATGAGGCCCCATATGACCGAGGCGTCATAGAATACGTGGTCGCCGGGACATGTCCATGGACTGCCTACTGGAAGCATTGCTCTGTCGCATATGTTGGGGATTGTTGCCATAAGCCACCAGGCTGTTCCCAAATGTGTCACTGCCGATATCACTGATCCAACGACCTGATTAAAGGGTGAACAAGAAGACATGTTAACTCACCTCTCAACCCGAAAACTTAACTTAATAGCCTACCATAAATTTATTCTTTATTTATACTTTAACATAACGTTGTTGTCAGTCTGCTACTAACCTGTGCAGTGAACATTTCTTTGGGAGGAATTTTCATGTAATGACCAAGTTTGAAATCTTGAAGAAATGTGATTGCCTGCTTCATACTCATGTATCCATAAACTTTAAAGCACATATTAGCAACAGGGTAGCCAGGATACAAGTAACCGATAATGAATTCAGTGATTACGTTTAATGATGGGGCCTGTTGATCAATAGAATGGAAAGTTTAAACAACAATGCTATCAGCTGTGTAGCTTACAAATGCATAGCTATTTAGCAGATATTGTTAAATGATACCTGATTTGTCAAAGCAGCAATAACTCCAACCGGGAGAGTGAAAAACACGGCAAGACTGCAAGCGAGCAGCACGCCCCACCATGGCAATTGGAGCTGGTTGTTATAGTACTCGCATATGAAAATGGTGGCTGAAATGTTAACTACAAGGATGCTCAAGAACCACCATTCGGGAACTTGATCATACTTTCTCATCAGCTTTGTATGCACATCCATTAGCTTCTCTTGCAAGGCTGACTTGCTTAATCGCCATATATCTCTGCTCATAACAACAACAAATCAGGGCGAATCGAAACCAAAACCATTCCCTGTTTAAAGTTTCTAGAGAACATGATCAAACTCAAGTTTGAAAGATGCCCAACCTCCCATGGAAAAGTAAGACGTGAACAACAGTGGCAGCAAGACAGGCAAAGTTGATACCATAGTAGAGAGCAAAGAAGGTACTAATCTGGAGCGGACCTTCGCGGTTATAAGCATCGACATCAAGACGAAAGTTGGGGTCAATTATAGCAGAGATATTGTATTTTTGGCCAGCAGAGGTGAACAGCCCATCAGAAAAAATGGGGAATGTCTTAGCATCAAAGAGATCTAGCCAATATGCTAATGGAGTCACGAGGTAAGTGACAATGGCAAAACCAGCAGCAATGTTGGCAGTGGCAAACCATGGACTGGCAAGAGGGCTCCCAAGATAAGCTGATATGGTGGACCAATCGAAACCAAAGGCACCAATGCCTAAACCTCGCAGCCCTGAACCGAGCTGCTGAGCTATTATGGATGTGGGAAACGCCCAACAGAGCCAGGACATTGAGGTCAACATGGGAAAGAGATAGCCAGGGAAGACGTAATAAGCAAAGCTGCAAGTGAAGGCAATGACAAAGAACTGATTTCTACTTAATTTCCCTTTTGGTCTCTCTTCTTTCTCGTGTAATGCCCTACAATTTCAAGACGATGATGAATGATTCGATTAAAACAAAAGTGGGCGATGGGTAATGTTAAATCACCATTAACAGAAACATGAATTTGGAGGCTAATAGTATAATTAGCACAGCGAAAATGACATTACAATTATTCTAACATACACATGTTCTAGCATTGTGTTTAATTACTGCAGGACATTATTGATAGACTACCATTACATTCGATCAGGCATTCATAATCTTAAAACGGACTCACCTGAAGAGGGAGACTTGAACCAGATTTTGTGGCCACCACATGGCGGCCGGCTCGACCAAGTATCGACGGAAAATCCCGGCCCAGCCAAAACCGAGGACCTGCGTAGTCAATACAACAAGCAATGCCACAAAGAAGGTTAGTTCCTTCTTGTAGAAGATCTTGATTGCGCTGACGACATGAATCGCGTAGACAGTGGAGGCGCCCGAGTTCGCGAAGATGGTGATGAGGACGTGCTCCTTCTGATTGAAGGGTCCTGGATTGAGAGTGAACTTCCATTTCTTCCCTTCAAAGAATACTCTGTTAGTTAGGGCAGAAGCCAGGAGATGGCCAATTGGAACCACCGCGATTTGGGCGGAAATTGAGGTCACTGAAAGAGGCTCTTTCCGATAGTAGAAGAACTGATTGAGGAAGGAGAGAAGCATACACGCGATTGTTCCCAATAACCACGTCCTGAAAGTGAACGTCGGAAGCGAGGTATCGTCAGTGACCGGAACTGTAAGGGCAACTTGCTCCACAGGGGAATTTTCGCCGGGAAATGAATCCTCCGGCGAGGGAGAATCCGAGGTTGACCCTGAAGCACACCATTGATCGACCTGATTTCCATGTACTGCAAACAACGGATAATAAGGTCAAATCAGACATTTAGAGAAAACTGACAGAAAGAGCAGGGACGAAGTGGAAGTCTTACTCAGAGGATCCAAAATTTCATGATTATCGGCCATCTTACTCACCGCATTTAGAGACCGACAGCCACGCCTCTACAAATCCGGAAACATTGTCCGAAAAAACAGGCTGGTTCAATGAAAGCTCGAGGTTCTCTTCTAGCAACAAAATCGATTGTGTTTCGATGTGGATGCGTTGACCAAACGAGATTGAATCAGAGAGCAATAACAGAGCTCTGGTTTCTGGCGATCATAGAGGGTTTAGTGCTCTGGTTTTGAACAGAACAAGAACTTCCAATGGTTAATGTCACCGGCGACTGAGGAAATGGCTTGAAGGCGTTTCCCTCCGGTGATGTCCCTCTGTCCCAACACCGACGCCGGAATTGGTCGTTTTATAGTTTGAAACGAGAAGGGGGGCCCGCAAAGCCTCCAAACGAACATTTCCAGTTTTTTGGTTAGAATTCAGAAAACGAAAGAGAGAAAATTTTATCA